AGTTGACACACAAACATAAGCACCACAAGGCACTTACTTGACTATGCCAAGTAATTTGGAAGACAGTTACCTAGCCAACTGGCAGGAAAAGATCAATATTTGTACCCAATCCAAAGAAAGGTAATCCAACAGAATGTGCAAATTATTGAATAATATCATTTATATCACATACTAATAAAATTTTCCTGAAGATAACTCAAAAACAGTTGTGACAGAGAACTTCCAGAAATGCAAGCTGGATTCACAACAGGATATGGAATAAGGAATATTATTATTGATATCAGATGGATACTGGCTGAAAGCAAAGGATACCAGAAAGATGTTTACTGGTGTTTTATTGACTATGCAAAAGCATTTGACTGTGTAGATCATAACAAATGATGGATAACATTGAGAAGAATGGGAATTTCAGAACACTTAATTGTGGTCATGATTCCAGGAGCTGTTGTTCAAACAGAACAAGGGGATACAGAATGGTTTAAAACAGGAAGGGAGTATGTCACAGTTGTATTCTTTCACATACTTACTCAATCTGTATGCTGAGCAAATAATATGAGAGCTGGACTATATGAAAAAGAACGTGGCATCAGGATTGGAGGAAGATTCATTAACAATCTGTGATATGCAGAAGACACAACCTTGCTTGCTGAAAGTGAAGATGACTTGAAGCACTACTGATGAAGATTAAAGACTGTACTCTACAGTACGGATTACACCTCAACATAAAGAAAACAACAATCCTCACAACTGAACCAATAAGTAGCATCAGAAAAGATTAAAGTTGTCAAAGATTTCATATTACTTGGTTCCACAATCAACACCAATGGAAGTAGCACTCAAGAAATCAGATGACGTATCGCACTGGATAAATCTGCTGCAAAAAACCTCTTTAAAGTGCTGAAGAGCAAAGATGTCTCTTTGAAGACTAAGGTATGTCTAATCCAAGCCATGGTGTTTTCAATTGCCTTGGATACATGTGAAAGCTGGACAATAAACAAGGAAGACTGGAGAAGAGTTGATGCTTTTGAGTTGTGGCATTGGCAGAGAATACTGAAAGTACCATGGACTGCCAGAAGAACTAACAAATCTGTCCTGGAAGAAGTATAGCTAGAATGCTCATTGGAAGCAAGAATGGCCAGACTTTGTCTCACCTACTTTGATCATGTTGTCAGAAGGAACCAATTCCTAGTGAAAGGTATCATGCTTGGTAAAGTGGAGGGTCAGCAAAAAAGGGCAAGGCTTTCAACGAGATGGACTAACACAGCAGCTACAACACTGGTCTCAAGTACAGCAAAGATTGTGACACTGGTGCAGGACTGCTCAGTATTTCATTCTGTTGTACAGGGGTCCATGTGAGTTGGAGCTGACTTGACAGCATCTAACAACAACTGCCTCTTCCTAGATGCTCTGCAAAATGTATACATAGCCCTGTCTTACAAATTATATCCTTTATACACACTGTAGGAGCTCTGTTGGTGCAGTGCCTAAGGCATTTGACTGCTAACCAGAAGGTTAGTGGTTCAAATCCACCAGCCGCTCTGCAAAAGGAAGATGGGACAATCTACTTCCATAAAGATTTACCACCTTGGAAACCCAATAGGGGTCACTATGAGTTGGAACAGACTCGATGGCAATGAGTTTGATTTTGGTATACTCAGTATCTTTAATATTTCTACATAAAGGATTATTAAATCAATTAAAACATCTTCACATGAACATCTATTGTTAATCCAAGTTTTTCCCCACTGTGAACACACAGATTTTTTAAAAAGGAAAGTCAGTATGGATCTTAAACTCTGTTAAAACTTAATTTTGTTGGTTTCATTTTATTGAATTGATTATAAATCTTGATTCTTTTGGCCATCACTTAAGAGTCAGGTTAGGTGAGCCTTTTGAACATTTTCCACATTTAAAATAAATGGACAAAAATGACAGAAAACCTTTTGAGGTAAAATGGCAGTATCTTCTGAAAAGCAGAACTGTAATTTTAGATTGTGATAACAATTGTCATAGTTAAGGGATGCTGTGAGTTCACTATTTTATTATACTGATTAAATATTAAAAGATATTAACATCTAAAAGGTAAGTTTCTATCATCTGTAAAATACATTTGGAATACTAGATACACAATGATCTAACTGTATATTAAAGTTTGTTCAATCCTTTCCCTTCCCTCACCTATTTGTTTGAACTAAATAAATATTTCCTTTTCTAGAAAAAAATCACTCTGCTAATTAGCCCACCTTAAAAGATTGCCCTCATTTATATTTAACTTGAGTGTCTACCATATGCTGACTATTTAATGTGAATTATTATCTCATTTGACACTCTTAATAAGCCTCTTGAGATACATACTATTATTATTTCTGTTTGAAAGACTATAAACCAAGCTCAGAAGGGTTAATTAATTTGCCCAAGGACATACAACTAGTAAGAAGGAGATGAAGGGCTGATAGCAATGGAGGAACTGAGAACCAGAAAACCTTGGATTCAGAAAACCATATGAGAGAAACACTGCTGCAGTTAGGCTGTGCCTAGGCTCCCCTAAGTCCTAGGCTGAGGCCCTAATACAGAGACAAACACACAGAGGGGCAAGATTTCACTTTATTGTTACATCAGTCTCACAAATAAACCCAACAAAGTCAGAAACATGGAGTGGATAAAGTGCCAATGCAAAGGCCTAGCAACAGAAGGAGGGAAGAATCCAGTTCATCTCCTCCATGTTCCCAGCCTGCAACGAGATTTCTATACACAGTGAGGGCAGCTGACATACCAAGCAATCTATTCTATAGACACTTGGAGCTAAGGAACAGAAATTGTTACCAGGTATGATCTAGTGCAGGGTAAGGAAATAGAAAAGTCAGTAAATCACTTCTCAGATGAGTCAGGCACAAAAATACCAAATGATAAAAACAGTAATTTTCAATGGCCTGTATTAGAAATAGATATCTAATAAGGACAATATAGGTAACAGTTCTATAATGTTACTTCTTGCCATTGCCTGTCTTCAGAACTGTGACCTGGGTAAATGGTTCTCTCCCTCCCCCAAGCTCCACTCAGAGGCACCAAAGAGAATTTTCTAGGCATCTGGGAAAAAGTGACTCAGAACTGGCCTCACCAGTTTACCTTGCCAGTCCCCAAAAGGCAGACTCAATGCTCCTTCATGAACATCAAGGAGATATGGGCCATCAGAGTGATCAACTGGGAGTATTTAAAGAAGTCTAGTGAAGACTTTCATAATTGTCTTTAGGCAGTTTTAGGTGCCTCTATCAAGCCTGCTCTGGTAGCATAGTGCCTAAGGCACTTGACTGTTTACCAGAAGGCTGGCAGTTCAAACCCACCAGCCACTCCTCGGAAGGAAGGTTGGGCAATCCTACTTCCATAGTGATACTGCCTCGGAAACCCAAGGAGGGGTCGCTATGAGTCGGGGGCGACTCGACGGCAAATAACAACAACATAACATCAAGCCTGGGGTTAAAAGCCTTACTATTTGGTTACAGAATTTAAATGATTTAACTGCACTGGGTAAGGTTGTGATATCCTAAGCTCAGATCAGGCTGTTTCTATTCTAAGATTGGAAAATCACTGACTCTCAGAGGCTAGGATAATTAAAGGTCACATGTTCATGATATGAACTCACAGAGCCAGAAGACAGAGTATCTTTCTAGAACCTGTGGGTTCCTGGCCTTACTTAGTGCACAGGGAATCTAAATAAGGAGAAACCAGGCCAGCGAACCTCCACCATTCCTTAGTTGTTACCAAAAGTCAAGGCTCAGAGTGGAACTTTCAAGTAGGGAAGTAAGGTGTGAAGTATTTCAACTCAGTCCTATGATGAGAAGCTAGCCAAAGTGGTACCAATGAAGGGTAAGGAAGGAGAGCGAGGAGGACTCAATGGAAAGGTAAGAGCATGGGGTGGAGCTACAGGGGCCCCTGAAGGCTAGTAACCCTGAGATCACCCCTGCTGATCTTCAGATGTGCCCTCCCCTACTATGGCTATGCTTACTTTCCCCTCTAGTTCCCACTACAGAGGTTGAATGGAAGGAGGCCTGGGAAATGATCCAGTGATAACTGGCTCCAGCAGAGCTGCCTAGCTATTCAAATGAGGGTCCCCAAGTTCCTAGTCCTTGGAGACCTTCTATATGGTGAAAAATGTTTAGAGTTCCAAAGAGCTGTTTGGTAGGGGCAGTGGCTGAAAACCAGACTAGATTTTTGGTGGGCCTGGCAAGGTTCAAAGTAGGATCCATGAAACACTCAGGGAATTACTATTATGAACCAAGAGCAAACTTGGGCATCTCTTAAAGGGAGAGCCACAGCTGGCTATTTTTCTGACTTCACTGAGCATTTCTGTGACTGACAGGGAAACTTTATTACAGGTACCTGTGTGTCTAAGCTGACACCAACAAAAACATTTCAAGAAGCCCCTGTACTCTCCCCTTTGAGAGGGATCAGGAAATACTGTGCAGAAAAGAACGTAACACTGCTAGGCCCTGCCCTGCCTCTTTTCTCTGTACCGGTAGAGAGCTAAAGAGTATCCCACTCCTCAAGTCCCTGCCTGGCAGTTTTGTTCCCTACCTCCATCCCAGAAAGTTTCTCAAGTGAAGCCTCCCCACCAATTGATTTAAGCAGTCTACTCCCTTCCATTCTCTTGGTTTTTTCAACTCTTTTTCCCTACCCTTGTCCCCAGGTACTAAGACACTGAATCCTGGTGGTATAAATGTCTGAGAACAATGTCCAGATTATTTCCTGAAGCCTTTAATTCCATCTCAGAGAGGGATTAATGTTCCTCTATCTCTGTTACTCCCTGCTCCCTCATACCTCTCCAAGAAGTTCAAAGTGAGAAACTATCTCATTCATCTTTGAACTCTCAGCTTTCAGGCACCAAGATATGGGCCTGAATGTGACATTTTGGGCAGAGGACTTTTAGTGGGTTTAGTACACAGTAGGGAGATCCCCATTCAAAAGCATCCCTAAAGCATATTCTTCCCCTACCATAACTTTTTACATATTCCTACTTCTTTGCTTTCCTACAAAGGCTTGAAGACAAATAAGGCAGTATGGGAGAATGAACATGGCCTTGGTTTGGAAGTTGGGTCTGAGTTCTGTCTCTTTCTTCTACTCACTCAGTATATGAGGTTAGACAATCTACTTGCCTCTTTGGACCTTTAAATGAAAGAGTTGGACTATATGACTTCTCTGGGATCTTTCAGATTCAAACTTGAATAATCAATGAAAGAATTAGAAGAAATTCTAATACCACGACATAGGTCTCCAACATCTCTTTGAAACAGCTAAAAGGTAGAAAAGGTCATGTCCCTGATTATTATACATTTAACTACAGGAAAAGAATCAAGTTTATCTATGGAGAAATAGAACCCAACAGCCCCTATGCTTGACTAGGAAAAGCAAATTCCTGGAAGAAGCAGAGAAATAGGCCAAAAGTGAGACCTGGCAGTGTCAAAAGGTCTATAAATTAAGTGATCAAAAAGTGAAAAACAATGGCTATAACCAGACAAGATCTCTAAGCACAAACTATAGTCTAGAGAGGTCTGGGTTGGGAGGAGCTTCCCTGGAGCTTCTATGAGAGGGAAGGACTTGGTCCACAGCAAGTTGCTACTGCATTTGGTACTGCAATTTGTCAACTTGGTGTGTGTGCATTAAGTGCAGACACGCTGCAGGCTGTAATTATGCTTCTGAAGTGCTGAAATGAGAAAAAAATATCAGAAGAAATGACACCAAATTTAAAAGGTTAAGCTGAAGACAATTTTAGTTTAAAAGCTATTCATCTTCCTCACTCCACTGTGTGATATCACCACTGCTCTTTCTGAAGTACAGGCTAGAAAGTTTTGTGGGATGGTAAAATCTAGGGGTAGGGAGGGCTGGGCTTGTGTTAAAATTGGAGCCAAAGGCAAGACAACCCCCATATCTTGCTTGATTTTCCCAAAGTTCCCCAAGCTCATGGATTTGCCTTGACCTAATCCATCTGGGTACTCACTTGTCTTCATTCAAGGAAACTGTCTCCACAAAAGGGATTTCTTCTTTATCTATCTTGCCCATGATCAGCCGGTGCTTATCCAGATTTATGATGCACTGAAAATAAAGGAGAAGCACTGGTCCCTGTTAGTGACCCCATTATGGGATTTGCATGTAAGAAGATCCCTGTCTCAGAGAGGAAATATCAAAGGGAAAGTGGAATCAATCTTACCTTCAAGGATCGGAGTGTCTGAAGACCCAGGGACAAGTTTTTCTCATTGTCCTCTAAAAAATAAAGCAGAAATTTAAGATTTAGCTATTTCCATGCTGGTTTAGAAGTCAACTTGATCACCATTAGGTTCCATTCGTCCATCCATCTGTTTGTCCATCCGTATATCTAATAAAATCTGTTAAGCATCTATTATATTAAATAATTTGTTCAGATCATATAGTTAAAAAAGCAACAAACCCATAAGCTAGTCAACCTAGTTCTATCTTTTTAACTCCAAAGAAACAGGCCTTTAGACAAAAACGAGGAATTTAATGTAGTCTAGATAGAATGCACAAGAGGAAGTATAGAAAGAGATTCTGGGAAACTATCAAAGGATTAATGGAATATTTTTACCTTCAACTGGCTCATGGAAAGCTCTCAGGGGCCATTTTCACATGAACACAAAAATATTTGCTTCCTGACCTTTGAATTTCTCCTGAGCTATACCCTCTTTTTTCTGAGTGAGTCTCAACATGCCTTGAATGTAGTTTAGGACCTGTCTGGTACTTTGGAGGGGAATAACTGGGACAAAGTCTATAGTACCAGATAGTGTTACCCTGGGATTTTGAAAAAGCCAATATTTACAGGCACAAGAACTCATGAGAGTTTGGTGGAGGTAGGAGAAGGGTTTACATTAGGAGCCTATAGGTCCAGTTCCTAGTTATACTCACCAACCACAGCTGCTGGGCAGTCCAGGCGGAGGGAGCCCAGTGTGATCACTAGGTGCTCAATCTGGCCCACTACTTTGAGATGCCGGGGAAGAGAAAGCTTCTCCCCTTCATGTTTGTGAGATCTGACATGCTCCTTAAGCCTGCATCAGAGAGGAAAATACAAGAGTCCCTTTGGCAGAGGTTTCTGGTAGAATCTGGCAGTGCTTACCTTCTGACCCACAATTGGAATTCTTCAGGGATTTCCTTGGATTAATTTGCCAACCAGCCAGCTTATACATGTTGGCTCAGCACTTTGTCCTAAACATGCCAGGGGGATATCTAAAAGCAAGACTCAGCTCCTGTTCTCAAAAAGCTTATATTCAAGAAAAAGATGGAATACTCCCAAATTCATTTTATGAAGCAAGCATGATACCAAAACCAGGGAAGGACACCACTAAAAAGGAAAACTATGGACCAATATCCCTCATGAATATAGACACAAAAATCTTCAACAAAATCCTAGCCAACACAAACATGGGTATATGGATGGATAGATAGGTGAACAGGCTAAATGATTAGGTATGTCTATGAAAAAGGGAGTGTATCCAAGATCATATATAGGGTTGGCAGACAATGGTCCTATAAGTTTATGTGAATGATCAGAATCCCCAGGTGTCAGTAGAGCTG